AAAATTATGTTAATTTTTGGCCGGAATTATGATATACAAATATAAGAAATTTTTTATATAGTCACATCTCTTCATAATCACCAAATATGGACTGTCCCAAATGTGTGACTATAAAGAGAGTTGACTGTACTTAAATTACCTTCAATAACTTACCAATCTTTACTCTAATATTTTTGCCAATATGTTTTAAATCCGCATATACTTTGCTCACACATGGAATATTATTTAAAGTCTTATTTGAATTTAGATCACCATCTACTTCAATATCTAAAAGTACTTCAGCTGCTTCTAATACTGGAACAATTTTTTCAATAATTCGTAATAATATTGCATGTTCCATTTGCCGTGATGTCTTTTCATGATTGCCATGAAAAACCTCATATTCTTGGCCATTTCTTTTTTTTAATTTACGTGGTTTTTCAGCAGTAGCAAAAGCAATAACAGGTTTGTGATCATATCCTATTATAAAAAAAATTGAATTTGTTTTTATTTTATTAAATATTGACAAAGTCTTTTTTCTTTTACCATCAAGATTTCCTTGATATATTAGTTCTCCACTAGCCTGGTTTGCATTCTGACAGTGAGACCAAGAGCAATCAAAACTAGTGTGTAATATTCTTTTTCCTTTTGCTTTAATATGTGCAATAGCTTTAGTTAATGCAATTTGTGCACTTATCTCCGCTTCATCATTTATTTTTTCCAAATATTCATTTTGTTTATTATGATAATGACCTTTTGATGATTGTGCTGTTATACCTATTATAGAAAATATAGTTTGTAGTTGTTGCCTATTAACGCCACCAACAAGTCCTGCACCTGCTGCAAGAGAAGAGAATTGTGCATTAAGTGATTCATTACTATATTCCGTAATTCCTTGACAGATCTTACACTTAATTTTAATTTGAAGATTATGACCGATTCTATGAACATCCAGTTTTTTTTAGATAAATCAAGGTTGTGACACGTTAAACAAGGTTGTATATATATGCTGGTAAGATACTGATCTGTACTAACGAATATAGTAGATTCAATATTCGTTTTCTCTAATGTTTTTTGTATCCAATTATTTAATAATTCTTGATCTTTTTCTTCATGTAGCTTATATTTCAAGTTTTTCATATATTCATTATTGGTTTTAGCTCGCTTGATCTGTTTACGTGATGTGTCTTCTAATTTTTTCAAAGCTTCATATTCAACTGCAAGTGCTAAAGTTGCTTCTGGAGTTAATTGCATTCCTGGTTTTTTGATTTCAATTCCATGACAAATTATTGGCGGTTGGGAGATTACTGATACTTTTTTTAGTAGTTTTTCTCCTTTCTTTTGCATAGTAGTAGTTAACTTAGCAATTTTATTTTGAGATTTAGTTGCAGTAATGTTAAAAAGATGTGGATAAATTGAGTTTACTTTTAATTGTAAATCATAAATTATATTAGGATCACGCAAACTAAGAACGTCAGGAATAGAGATTTCTCCTGATAGTTTTATGTATTTTTTCATGCTTACAAAAAAATCAGAATTTACTCCCGAATATATAAGTTCAGACATTTCCACATTTTCATAAATTTCCCAACTATATATAAGGTGTTCTTCATTACTACTTTAAATTTCTAAACGTATATATTGATCACAAAGTTTTCCAATTACACAATAACCAGAGAGTAGAGGAATCCATGGAGGAGTTGGTATATTTTCTTTTTTAGTAATAGCACGGTAATATGGATTAGAGCAATACTCTTTACTTGTTTGTAGTTCAGCATGAATAGAAAGAACTTCTAGTGTTCTGGATGTATCACGAAACATATATCTACCGTTTGCTCCTCTGAATATTTTCAGTGTAGGATTATAAGTTTGCATATGCTATACCCAGTTAGGAAGTCTAAAATGTTTTAATAATCGAAAAACTATAGAAAAACATTAAAGAATTTCTCAATTTCTTAATAATAAATATTACTTTTCTTGCTTTTTACCCTTAGTTGACGTTGTCATTGTGACTAAGAAACTTTATTTTGCAAGAAAAGAGTTACAAGATACGGTTAATTAATATAGCCGGTATTTCTAATTTTGTACAGCCAGCTATTTTTAGTACAAGACGTGGTAATTTATTTAGCCGATATTTTTATCTGCACCTCGTGTTTAAGAAGATAAACAAATCTGGGTTTTTGGAACCAAAAACAAATGGACATTTATTATAATAAAAATTAATTATAACGAATACTCTACCCTTAATGATAGAAATATATAAACTTTTAGATATACAAGATAAAAAAGAGCAGTATAACTTCTAAAAACTTGCTATTTTTTATATAAAAAACTAAGAAAAGCTTAATATTCTTTTTAGAAAATTAGATAATTATTTGGAAAAATTTCTTACTTCTATAATACTTCAAAAATGATGTGACTAGAATTCCAAACAGGTTGACCAAATTCAGGTAACCTGACAGGTTGACCTAAATTTATCAGGTTAGGTTTATGGTGGCTGCCACCTATAACTACACTAATATTAAGTGACTTCAAATTTTTATAAATTGTAAATTGAATAGTAAAAAGAAAAAACTAAACCGATAAAATGATATAGCAACATGTACTGAACATTTCTATCGGATTATTTTATAAAATTTAATAAGAATTTTAATTAATATTATGGGTTAAAGTTGGATAATTTTAATAAGTAGCAATAATAAAAATATAAAATTTTGGACTAGTTTTCATGTAATTTTTATGGATTTTACAAAAATTCCATGGAAATCCACAAAAATTCCATGTAATATGGCAAAAAAAAAATTTTGCCGCTCACGCGGCAATTAATATTTTGACAAAGTACTTTAAAACATAAATTACACAATATAAATAAATAAATTTCAAAATTTCAGACTATTGTTGTTTATAGGTGACAGCCACCATAGCAATTGCAATTCAACATTAGTTCAGGTTGTAACATCAATATAACTTGAATGACCTGTTGACCTGAAAATATGATTTTATATAATATAAGTGATGGTATTATAATTCACTTTTTATATTGATTTTATATAATAAAAGTGAGTTGTGATATTAGGATTCATTTTTTTATATTGATTTTATATAATAAAAGTGAGTTGCGATATTAAGATTCACTTTTTTATATTGATTTTATATATAAAAAAGTGAATTGCAGTATCAGAATTCACTTTTTTATATTTGATTATATATATAAAAAGTGAATTGCGGTATCAGAATTCACTTTTTTATATTGATTTTATACAAAAAAAGTTAGTTGCGGTATTGTGATTTACCTTTTATACGATTTTAATATAAAAAAGTGAATTGCAATATTTTCAAAAAAAATGTTTTGCACCATTTTTTTTTGATATTTTAATAAAAATTTCAGGTTTCAGTTCAAGTCAGGTCAAACAGATAACCTGATATAACCTGATCTGACCTGATCTGAAAAAAAATTTCAGGTCAGATTTATCAATTAACCTGACCTGACCTGATCCATTAAGAACTCTAGATATGACGAAATAAACTAATCAATTTATTATACTACAGTCAACTCTCTTTATAGTCACACATTTGGAACAGTCCATATTTGGTGATTATAAAGAGATGTGACTATATAAAAAATTTCTTATATTAGTATATCATAATTCTGGCCAAAAATTAAAATAATTTTAGTCAAAATTATACTCAAAACTTTATTATATCGTAACTCTGTCAATATTAATCGTAGAGAGATGATCTTACTGCCATTCGATTTGTCTTAATGAGACGGTTCTAATGGTATAAAATACATCGAAATCCAATCACTAGATTAATTTCCGAAATTAAAAAAATATTAATGGTTTTTGTGTAATAACTCTGCCAATATTGATCCTAGAGATACTATCTTACTACTATTCGATTCGTCTTTATGCGACGAATCTAATGGTATAAAATACATCGAAATCCAATCACTAGATCAATTTTCAAAATTAAAAAATATTAAATAGTTTTTAAGTAGTAACTCCGTCAATATTAATCACAAAGAGATGAACTTACCACCATTCGATTCGTCTTGATGAGGCGATTCCAATGAGCTATTAATCGTCTTTTTACAATCACTAGGTACCGAGAAATTTAGCAAAATGTTAAATGGCGCAGTAAACGTAAATCAAGAAATATAATAATGCCGATGCTTAACATTTNCAAAATGTTAAATGGCGCAGTAAACGTAAATCAAGAAATATAATAATGCCGATGCTTAACATTTTGTTGAATAACTCATCAGCCAGTGATCGCAAAAAAATAAAACTGGGACTTCCTGTCTGAATGGTCATTTCACAATACCGCTTGGGGTCAGTAATGGCTAGATGGTTGTTCTAGATGGTAAAACTAAGGGTGCAATGTCTTAGTGGTAGTTTGACCTTCTGTTAGGTCTTAAACCAACCAAGGTGTTCGTGCACAGAACAGGTAGCATGGTTATGGAGTTCGATTCCCCACTTCTTGGGTCCTGATTGGTGATCCCTGGTGGTTGATACCCACCATAAGGGGTGATCTTGGACAGATGCCTGCTACTTTCTGTCTGAGTGGTCACTACAAAGTATACCACTTAGGTAAATAACCGTACTATCAGTGCTAGGTAATCGCAGGCTGTAGTGGCCTTTGAGTGAGACTTAGTACCTAAAATGGTAGTATAGAAGGGTACTAGATGGTTGATGTTACCTGTCGAAAGTCCTTCATGAAAGTAGGTGCTCTTTAAAGGTCGTAAAATAAATTGAGTATTAGTATCATACAATAGATTAAGGATGAGTGGGCAGCATGTACCTAGCTTCAGATCAGCTCAAAATAGCCCGATGGGGATGTCTTCAAAGTGGTGCTGTTACCTGAGGAATTAAGTACTCAGTTAAATGGTTGCCCATAAAGATGATAGGACACAGATCCGAGATTAGTCTTATAAGAGGCAATGAATGGTCTGACCGTAAATACTAGCAAAGCAAAAGGATAAAACTACTACCATTCGATTCATCTCAGTAAGACAATTCTAACAAGCTATAATACATATTTGTACAATTATTAAATGCCAAGTTATTTAATATATTCTTTATATAACTGTGATTATAAACGGTTCTTTTTAATATAAAATTTTTGAGGATAGATGTAATAGTGACTATAGATAGATTGTGACTATATAGGATAGTTTTTAATAATAAAGTGTTTTGAATATTCAACTGGTGTGACTAAGGTTGCTTGCCGAAACTAGAGGGTTTCGGCAGAATGGCGTATGTGAAACTGCCGAAACTAGTTTCGCGAAATCATCAAGAAATGCTGAAACTGCGAAACTTATCAAAATCGCGAAACTGCCATAACTTGCCGAAACTGTTTTGGCGTTTTAGCAATACTTTCTATATGATTTAATTAGAGTTTCAGCATTTAAACAATTTATAAGAATAAAGACAATATAATTTTTTATATATAAATATTTATTTTATAATATTTAATATTAAACTAATAAAATAGAATAAAATATACGATTAAAAATATAATAAAAATTAAAATTTAATATCTTTATCTTCTATATGGGGACCTGCTTCTACCTCTTCTTCTATCTCTACTTCTATTTCGTCTTCTATCTCTACTTCTGTCTCGTCTTCTATCTTTACTTCTATCTCTACTTCTTGATCGAGACCTAGATTGCGACCTCCTTCTTTCCCTTTACAATCTATATTCATATCAATATCGATCATGCGCAGCATGCTGCCGTCGATACTCTCGTCTAAACAGATCTAAAATCCAATAAAAATATTAATGAATTGAATGAATTGCCTAAATAAAATTAATTTAAAATAATAATTAATAATAATTACCAGTTTGTAGCCAAAATTCATCGTTCATGTAAGCGAAACACGCTCTATCGAAACTATTTGGACTTACAATAGGAATGTCGTCATCATTATTATTTATTATCCTACTGAGGTTTTCATAACCTCGTTTGAGGGCATTCCATTTTTAGAGCATTGCCTGGGTGTCGCTGCAAATCTGGTTGCAACGAACACTCTATTTGCTATTATTGTCCATGCATTTACATGGTGACAGTTTGCAATTCTTTCTAATTGCTGATGTATATTTCTTCGCTCGGCGATTAATTGCCTAGCAGTGTTAATCATCCATTGGAATACTGGTGGTGGTGGTGGAACAAAAGGTACTAATGCTGCCATTTTTTATTTTTATGATTTTTTCGTAACTTTGAAAATTTTTCGTAACTTGAAAATTAAATACAATTTGAAAATTAAAATACAATTTGGTTTTGAATTGCGAAAAAAAATCCTATATACTTCAAATTTCATAATATTTATACTAATTTTAAAATTCGTTATAATGTTTAAAACATGAACTGATAAACATAATAACATTCTACATAATTAAAGTATTTGTAACAAAATAAATACAGTTTTGATTCTAATGTAATAAATTTAATTAACACAGTTCTAAATTTTTTTTTGTAACGCAGTTCTTAAAATTTATTGATCTAATGTAATAAATTTAATTAATGGAGTCCTTAAAACTTATTGATTCTAATAAAATATGCTTATCCTTATTCCTTAATTAAATTGCAATGTTTTAAAATATAATATAAAATTACAATTGCCTGCATAATTATATGTTAACTGGACTTTGATCGCAAATATTTTGTCCTGCATAATTACATCATTTATTTCCTAAATAGTATCATTATTTAAATCATATGATATTAGAATTAATTCTCATTGGATTAACTATTGTAATTATTTCTTATTATTATTATTCCTTATTATCATCATAATTATTGTCATTATTATCACCATCATCCATATTTAATACATCATCTATATCATAATCATAGTCACCTTTCCCAGCTCTCTTGTTATTACCACTATCATCAACTTCATCATCTTCTGCTAGAGCTCCTAATGAGTCAAGTCGAGTCGAGTTACGAGTTAAAAACCTTAATTTTAAAGTACTTTTTATTAAGTTAGAATATAATTAAACGAAAATTTACAATTATGCGAGTCAAAATGCGAGTTTATGCGAGTCATTTTCGGAGCTCTATCTTCCGCATTATTTTCATTTGAATCATCCAATATATCTTTTGAAATATCGCCGATTTACCTAGTAATTGAATCATACGATAAATTAACAAATTGATCAATCCATAGACTTTCGATTACTACACGGCAATTATCTTCAGGTATTATTTCACCGCTTGTAGTTAATCTCTGAGTAGAAGCTTGCTCTTCATTATATTCCTCATCATTATTTTCTGCAAAAGCTTCTGCAATACGTATATTGATCTCATCATCACTAAGACGAGTATTCTTTTTTTGATCAATTCCATAAAATCTAAGTTCAGTTTTTGAATTGGATTTCCAATACAAAATTAATTTGCACATGGATTCTAGTTTATCCACATTAAGATTTAAGCGACGTTTATGAAATAGCCATCCTAAAGTCGAAAATCCACATTCGCAAGTTGCTGAGTTAGGACATATTGCAAATAGATAACTTGCAATTCTTGGTAGAACATCTGGTTTTGGTTCAGTATTAATATATTTTCACCAATTCACAGGATTATCTTTAGCAAAACCGATATCTAGGTCAAATGGTTCTTGCTCATTAATATATTTCTCTATTTGATCACATAAAGTTTCAGCTTCGTAACGATCGAAACCTAAATTTTTCCCGATTGAAGCTGCACATTTGATAATTCTCATGAGGGCGCATTTTTTAAGTGGCGCGTTTCTAAATCTGGGATTCATAAAAAAACAAGTAATATACTTATCATCATCGAACTCATCAAATCTTTCATTTATTACTTTGATACAATGACTTCGGAATGCAGGATTTAATGATTTGGGTAACTTTTTTAATGTAGCTGCACGTCTTGCTAGGGTGTGCGATATTAGTCTAATCACAAATATAGTGCAATTATTAAAGTAAACATCCTTATTAAGGATTTTTCTTGTCGATCATCTGTCAATCATTTTATAATTTATTAATATTTTAGAATCTTGGATTTAAATCATTTAAAAAATTTAAAAAAAGAGTTTTAGATTTAAAATTTTCTATTTAAAATCAGGTTATCGGTTAATTTACAAATATAATGCATTACTATAGTGATCATTACTATAGATTTTTATAAATATATAATAAATTACTAGTAAAACTAAATTGCCCATAACTTTATATGCATGCTTAACTCTCCATTTTTAGCAACTGTTTATGATATTAAAATCAAACGTACACATACTAATAGAGCCGGATTTCTTGAGTACATATAAATTTAGTTGTAAAAATCACGTTGTAATATTTCACAGCAATGTAAACTTTATTTTTTTTATTTTATTGTTCAAAAACCGGCTCTATTTCATTAAAATACGACATTTAAAATTTCCAAAAAAGTTGTTTTTGGAGGCTAGCATCTACTTACTACAGTGCCAACAGAGTATGTT